AGACTTTCCCTCTTTAGAGTCTTGATATTATAGAGAATATAAGTCTGTTTCTATATAATAATATAAATATTGTCAGTGAGATGTAGAGAAACTGGTTATTTATATCTCAAAATAAAAGACTTTGTCAATGATTATATTAATACAGAGTTAATTCTCAAATTCAATAGAAATCTAGTATTGCTGTTCTCAATCTCTTGCAGAATCTATTGAATATTGAGATATTAAAACTAGATTTAATATATCTCACTGTGCAGGAATCAAAGACTCAGTCAGATCTTAAGATATACTGAATTTATAGTTATTAATATGCTGTTGACTTGTTCTGTTGACTTATTATCTGCTAATTATGTATCAAGTACTGTTGCTGAGATATCTTTTTGTATTATTCTGTCAGAGATAAGCCAGATTGAGAGAGATAGTATGAGAGTGAGACTTGATATTAATGTCTAGATACACTGAAGACAGACTGCAGAGATTACACTTCAGAAGTGTCTGTTGATTATGTGCTTAATATTATCACTGAGATATCTTTTTATATTTTTCTGTCAGAGATGGGCCAGATTGGGAAGAATGATACAAGAGTGGAACTTAGTATTGATGTTTTGAAATATCAAAGATGAACAGGGTTTTCACAGAGATCACTTCTCAGATATCTTCACAATTACAGATTAAGAATCTTCCAAAATCAAGAAGATTGGTGCATATGGCTAGGTCTCTTCATCTTACAATTTGTATGGCAATTTGGCCCGGGGTTGTGGTGTGATAGGGGAGAATGAGGGATAATCTCACACAGGAGTTTCAAACAATGTCTGGTTCACATTTGGCTGAATAACTCCACCACCACACGGGGTATGCGGTCGGCGATGGGGTCAAAATGCCCATATGATCGAGGGCTATTCGATGGATCTATCGGCGGGTTCTTATTCGAAAGATCGAGCGAGTTCGTGGTGGAGCGGTTGTATGTACTCATGAGAAATATCTATAAGAAACTCAGCAGTGATCAGACATTATTTATAAAGATATTAAAATTAGAAAAATCTTTATTCTTGAGAAGTTCTTAAATTAATATATGAATATTGTTAGAAATACTCTCTCTTTATTATCTGAATAAAAACACTTCACAGATGAATAAAAATAGTCACAGTTTATAAGAATAAAAGCTATTATAGAAAAAGAGAAAAGAAGATGAGATTCTATAGACAGATCTGAGATATTTATACTACTTTAGAGAGATTTATTTACACTATGAGTAATTCTGTAGAATAGTCAGATTACTCTAGTAAATAAAGAGTAATTATGAATTGCAGATCTAAATCTTTCTATATAATTATAAAGAGTAATTACAGACTGTGAACATCTTAATTCTACAATTTTACAGAGTTAATGAAAGAATGAAAAATTTCTTATAACTTTACAGTATCAAAGAATGATAATTTATAAAAATAAGTAAAAGATTAACTTATAAATACTTCTCATTAATAAGAATGATCTCATAGAAAGTGATTTATCTGTGAGATAAATCTATATAATAATTATACAAGAATCTTATAAAAATAATTAAGAGTTAACTGAAACTCTTCTGTATAAAAGATATGAGATAAATCTGTATAATAGTCAGAGAAAGATCTGCAGATTATAAAGAATTTTACAGAATAAGAAACTGAGTGACAGACTCTTTTCTCTTTACAGTAATAAGAGATTTTTTCTCACTGAGATTTTTATATTATTATTATTATTATTCTTTCATTATACTCATATGCAAGCGGAGCTTATGATGAGTCCTTGCGTGATGTTAAATACAGGCCAAGTGTTGGTTATACAGGAGGAAATACAGGTGTTGAGACCATGTCAAGATAACAAGAACATAGAAAATACAAAGAAGTGACAATTAAATACATGCAATAATAACTTCCCATCTCAAGAATATAGAGTAATTTTATTGAAGTGATTTGTACATCTCTGTATTTATTAGAAACCTGAGATGCTTGAGTTCCAGATTTAATGTATTCCCTGCGGGTTTCAAACCCACATGCCTTGGTTTCTCATGCCAAGGCACTACCAGGTGACTGCATTAATCATTCAGTCACCGGGGCACTGAGATTTTTATAGATATGAAGAGTTTTTAGTGAGTATCACTATAGTACTGAGTCTGATTCTATAAAATCACTCAGTGAAAGACTTCACAGATAAAGCTCTAGAGAGAAAGAAATATATAAGAAATCTCACTTCTTACAGATTCTTTATCTCTATTTCTATCTCTTGTGTAATTAATAGAGTTAGCAGTTCTTGACTATATATAACTATATAGACTGAAGTTTATAACTACTATTCATAACTCAGTTTAAATACTATTATATATTTAACTTCTATATTTTATCTTTCTACTGTGAATACTTCTAGTAGTTAACAGTATATATTATATCAAGCTGCAAATATCTGAATAATTGCCTGTGAGCACTTATTCTTACAATTCAAGTAATTAATAATTGATTGAAAATCAGTTGATAATCAATTCAGTGTAAATTATATAAATACTTACTTTATTATTAAATTCAAGAATAATTTCAGTATTAAATTGATTTTAAATTGATTTTGAATTGATTGTAGAATTGATGGTAAATAATTGAGTGGTTTCAAATTACAAGAAAAGATGTATTGAGTGAGGTCAGGTAGTGGCACGGGCCACATTTGCGAGGTCAGCTTACATAACGAGGTCAAGTGGCGCACTTAGCGAGGTCAAGTTTTCTGCTTCCTGCAATGGATATCTGGAGAAGCGTCTGAGCTTGCTGAGATAATAGCTACGTTATATAACATAAGAGATCACGTGCAGGCGGAGCGATCGCTAGGGCAACGCCACCAAGGCGGCCGCCGCTACACCTTCCACCTCCATCATATTTATATTACATATGAGATCACGTGTAGGCGGAGCGATCGCTATGGCAACGCCACTGGGGCGGACGCTGCTACATTTTAGTTACTCTCTGTCCTCGCGGCCAGATGTCTGAAAGCCAAGAATTACTAAACCACATATAGTAATATAACTACTAACTATATTAGGACTAGTGATATCGGTGTGTCTATACGGAGTAATGATGCCGTACTAACTAACCGTAACCTACGCATGGTATTGCTCTGTAGCTTCAACCGTGTCGTCTGATATCTGCAGCAGATGCAACCTTCCCCTACATCTCACACCATTTGTCACTATGGGCTGCCATACCTGCTCTTCTTGAATACATCACATACTGCGATAAATCATCTACCTTAGATTGAAACGAAAAGGGATATTTTTACGAGAAGTGGAAATTTCATCTATATGAGCATCATCTAATGGCAGCAGACCAGAACGATGCGATATGCCGAATTTTTTGGGGGTACGGAAAAGTACCTTATAAATGAGTTTAAAAAGCAAAATAACAAGGCAAAAGGGCTATTAAATAAATCCCGCACGCACACCCACCCTTTCACCTTTTGGATAAAATGATAGAAAGAAGGGGTGACATGTATCCCATAACCATAGCACACCACCCCTCATACATACGTTTATATATATGCTAAGTCATGCTTAAAGCACCTCGACGGCTACTGCAATGTCAAGCCACAAAAATAGAGCTTCATTGGTGCTGCATTTCCGTGATAGTCATGGCCTCCGCCTTCTCATCCGTATTTTCATCCTCTTCCAGCTCAAGGTCCAGAGCGTTCATCACTGCCTCCTGGCCATTAAGCTTCCGGAACGTGAACCAGAAAATGATACCAGCAATGAACGATGCGCCACACAGGCCGACAAACATCCACAGGACGGCCGGGTCATAAGCGGCTGGGATTAAAGCTTCTCCAATAGCCGAGCCGAAGGCATTGGTCAGGAGATACATCGACTGCACGAAACTCTTCATGGAAGGTGGCGCCTTGGTATACGCGTACTCAAGACCAGAGACACTGGCGAAGATCTCGGAAATACCGATGAGAACATATGCTGGTGTTTGGATGCCGATGTGCACATGATTGCCCATGGCGACGCCGTCGACGATCGACAGCTCGCAGTGCGGGTGCTCGTAGCATGGCCCGGTGGAGTAGATGAGGTGCTGGACGATGGCTGCGTACCCCATTGCCAAAGAAGCGACAATAAATCCAACGGTGATGCGGCTGATGGGAAGGAATGGGATGTGCAAACGTTGCAGAATAGGGTATACAATGCGGTCCAGAATTGGGATGAAGACGATGATGGAGATTGGGTCAAAGTTTTGCATGAGATCGTTAGGAATTCCGTGTCCTTCCATTTGGCCGGCTGCATGTAGTTATCAGAAAAGCTGGTCCTCTGTTATTTCTTGGGCTTGATTGGGAGCATTGTTACGCACCTTGTGCTACAAAGTTCCCAGAGAATTGGCCATACACTACCCAGTAGATAGGGTAAAAGGCGAACACCTGACAGGCAACAAGCGCACGCTTGAGTTCGTCAATAAAGTGGTCGTTCCAGGGGAATGTCCGGCCTCCACCATGCTCTGCCTGGTAAGAGTTCTTGGGGGCGTCCATATTCCGGTTCTTAATCATGACCCAGATAGCCCTAAATGCATCAGTGATGATGGATCCCTTTGGAGGGCGGACGATATAAAATCTACGCCCGAGGACCAAGACAGCCGTCCCAACGATGAACACAGAAAGCGTGAGAACATATGCAGACCAGAAGCCAATATCTTTTTCCATAAAAGGGGTGGCGAGAAGAGATAGCGAACCAAGGTTAATACAGGCATAGAATACCATGTAAATGCGCTGGATGGTCAGAGCGGGATCAATAATAACGCGCTGCCCCTTCTTGTTGGTCTTAATGGCCATTTTCTTTCGAGTGTATTGGTCCGCGATTAAGGGTGCTACGTTAGATTTGATGCCTCCAGTGCCGATGCCAATAATGATGATAGCCACGATAAAGCCACCAACGCCGGCACCATTTGCAAGTGCGATGGGGATTGATGTTAGGGTTAGGATCAGAAGACCGACAATATACACGATACAAAACCAGAAGATGGCCATGTATTTTCCCAGGTATTGATCCGCAACGATAGCACCAAAGATAGGTGTCACTGAACATGGACATTTAGAATACATGGCCGTCCTTGGTTTCTGCACAAGGTCACTCACCGTAGCACCAAAATTGGAAAAATGTGACCAGACCGGTTGCGCCCTGGCGACCCAGGCCTAGAGCCAAAAATACATGTAAGTACGTTCTCTCGCAAGTTTAAATGGGATAGACCTATGGAGTATTTGACATACCAAGTGCACCTCGACCCAAACTGCCGTCGAAAGGTCGCTGCACATAATTTTGGAACAAGCCGTTCATTCCGTAGTAGGTGAAGCGCTCAGCGAGCTCGACGCCCGCAACGAGCCATGCTGAGAAGGGGAGGTTCTCAGCAACATGTTGCAGAGTAGCTTTTTCGTGCTCTGTTGGCTCCTCTCCATCTGGGGTTAAGATGTTCTCTTTATCGGAGCTGGCGTCGAGGGCGGCAGAGTTTTCATTCACGGAAAAAGCGTCTACGCTAACATCCTTCTTTTCATTGAGGGTTACAGCACCGAGTTCTTCTTGGAGCCTTGCATATTTCTTGTTAGCCCGGAATCCCAATAGTAATTGTGACAACGGCCAAAGCACAAAAAAGGGTTAGGCCGTCAACACATGCAGACATGGAGCGGAAAGTAGATAAACAAAACTCACTGAACTCCGTCGAGCTTTTTTTGCTCACTCATGGTGCCTATCTCCCTCCCCGACAGAGGTTTTACTCAAGGAAGGAAAATTGGCAGTATGGACAGTCCACTTCAAAAATACAGTGCGAAATGGAAAAAGTGGGGAAAATATCTGTGGGGAAGTACAGGAGAAAGTTGTGCAGCGGGGACTGTCAGTGCTTATAGCTCTACTCTCAGCTTCTGGGATTGACCAGTCTGGCATCCCCAGAAAATATTGATATACATCATTATTCATGTTGGCATAACCACACAATGTAACTATGTGTGCGCTCCACTCCCAAGACTTCTCCTACCTATGGACCGTACTTAGCCGAGACAGCAAGGGCTTTGGCTCTCAGGGCTGTCGTAATGCCAGTTTGGGGTGGGATTGGAAAACTTTAGAGAAGGAGGAGCCCACTTTGGCTAACCCAGCCAACCATGCGCACAGAAGGCGATCGGCGATCAGGAGTATGCTCTCCGAGCTCTAGAACCGAATAAAAAAAGCATAGTATGTCCGTTAAGGTTCCCCGCCGACGCACATCTGCACCAATCGCATTCGCATGAACGAATTGGAAACCCCGCAGAAATCCGTGGGCGGAATGAAATTATTGCCCTCTCCCATCTTTAGAAAATTCAATGTTGTCCGTGGGATTATGATCTGTGTTACGGTGTTACGACCTCCCACGGATATCAGCACTGCACTGCTTTTTCATTGGTTGGTCGATAATACAAGCAATTTTAGTGGCTTGGTCCCCAAGGCTTAATGGTGCTTAGCTACACGCCAATGTATCCAAGAAAATCTTTTCTTATTTGTACTATTTGTACAGCGGCTAAGACTGGCTGGCCATGTGACCATGTCTAGTCTTCCAAGGAGGATAAAGTTGTTGTATATTTTAATCTAGCTACACGAGCTCTTACTATAATAGGTTGGGTGGCATTGTGGCTGGAGTCGGTAGAAAACACAATTTCGATGGAGAAGGACTCGTTACGTAAGCTTTAACTTTACAAGCCCCGTAGGGTCCCAAGGAATTATGGTAGTTTCTAGTTCAAAGTAATCTGATTTCCTTTTTTTCTATCTTATGGGTCCTTAACATAGTTACATCTCTAAAGAAAAAGAAGAAGAAGAACTGGATTCCCCCCCCCATTTTTATCCTTTTTGAGAAAACAAAACAGTAAACAATGCTCTTTTTTTAGAAAAAAAGAAAAAAGGAAGGACTATTGCTTATAAGGAGATAAAAAAGGAAGCAGTCATCGCTAAGGATTACGTTCTGGAAAGAGCTGAGACCATGTGGCCATCCAATCCTTGGCTCTTGTTCTTCGGTACCCTCTCTTGCTACCACTATGATCTATCCCCTCATCTAGCCACCCTCAGTTTACCGTGGAATATCCCCGGAAGCCTTTTATCTCGATGTCACATCACGGATCGCTAGCGATCGCAGTTAAGCTCGCCTGGAAGTAAGGAGAATCAGGTTTCACCTCTTCCCAGTACAGCTGCGGAATAAGCGGCGGAACGATCCGGCCCTTGTGGATTCAGAGATATCATATGGCCAACCCAATAAGAAAGCCTGCTTGAAATCGAGTTGATATAAATAACGCTACAATCCCCGCTTTGGCCGTTTTTACTCTGCGATGATCCCGCATCCTACGGGTAGTCATCACCTTGCTTGAGCATGCCATTAGTGTCTCAGGGCACTTGGTAATCGCTTTTGGATTACGTTCTTTATATCTCATTTTACAGAGGAATTCTTGCGTTTCGCACAATGGTTTGCATGGATGGCAACCGCTCCCTTGTTGTTTCTCGGATGCTTGTCTACGCCCATGGAGATAGGGTATTTAAATCCTGCCGGAGTTGACATTTTTAAACACAGCCTTGACAGAGGAAATAACTCGTGTCGCCGTGCCCCCTCAAATCCAAGAAGAGATCATGATAAGCCCAATGCTGTCTTCATTTTCAGTAGTATTTCACTCCTACCAAACAATCTTATCCTGTAGGCTTGGGTTGAATGCACTTTATTAGCAATCCGCTAGAAAATCATTCTAACCACCGGCAATACCTATGAGATAGTAGTTATTGGGGGTGTCTGCTTGTCATATTATCCTGACAGTTATTCAGGCTTCATAAAATATGATTGATTGAGAAAATAGTATGTATATTGATATCACTAGCTTCTACCTATGACCTGCTTGACTTCATTATAGAGATGTAACAGACCCCGGGGTGGGGGTAGCAAGGCACATTGCACTCTCTGGTATTCCGCGCCGCAGTGAAGCAAGCTAGAAGATTGCAGAAGCTTGCAGACTATTCTTATTCTTATATATGTAACGATGTGATAGATTAAGATCTGAGGCTCTGAGGGATTGAAACATTTTATATAGCTGACTGGCATTTCAGAGATCAGCAAGATCTATACTCAGGAGTCTTTCTCTATATATGGGAGACTCTATACCCGGAGAAGGGAGTCTCTATACCCAGAGAGTCTCTATACCTAGAGAGTCTCTATACTTGGGGGTTTCTATATCTGAGATTCTATATCCGGTGCTGAGTATGTTTAGAGATCTGTGGGAATGGAGCTCATAGTCTGAAAGCCAAGACTTACTAACCCATATATAGTAATGCACTAATTATATTTGGATTAGCACCATTGGTGCGTGTCTATATAATGAGTATTAAGCTTTTACCATGGCGGAGTAGCTGATATGGGCCTCATATGTTGCACAAACCTAAATGCTTCTTGGCCATCCATTCCTGGAATGTTCTGATAAGGTTAGCCGAGCCGCGCCTCGCCTTGTCGCTAATGTCGGTTCGGCGGCGGAGTCATATATATCCTCTCTTTCTTTCTTTAGAATTGCTGCAGTTAAACCAGAACCAAAGCCGAATCCCAGAGCAGGAGCTTATCATTATAAGAGGCAACCTGACCCCTGAAGAAGCTGATAGCCTACTGATTCCGCCTTGATCATTCAGTTGACCTTTTGAATTTGAAACGCTGAAGAGGCAAAAAGCCCTTAGAGAGGAGAATTGGGCAGATGATTTCTAATCTAATGCACGGGTCTTACTCTTCGAGGGAAAAAGACAAAGGGGGTAGTCAGCATTTGCCGCCTAGTTAAAAGAGACTTCATGATTGGAAAGCTCACTTCTGAAGGAGTCATGTGAATGGGGAAAGGCATGGTGGGGTGTCCGGTCCGGACCGGACCGGGACAAGCTGCTAAAATGTAGGCGGCCAATGTTTTGGCGTGTGCCTAACAATAGCACAATAGCACAATAACACACAGAAGTAACACACAGAAGCCCCGCCATCACATGTCAAATTCGACGGGGAGGCAAGCGGCATGCTATCCCCGTGGTGAGCTCTATAGGCAGGGAGGACGGGATGACAATAGAGAGCAACAAGATCTCAATAAAAAGAACGTATTTGCATGGGTTTCACCTGATAGATGATATTATTTGTGGTGGGGAAGTCGCCATCCCGAACAAGGTGGCGGAAGATAATAAAAATCTAATCTTGTTCCAAATGAACTGTATCTGGTATTACCTTTTCATAAAGGACTCCTCAGTTGCTGGTCTCAAGAATAATCGACCGCTAATAGCCATTAAGCGTCAAAAGGTGAAAATCTCTGCTAAGGGCGAAAGAACATATTTAATCACCCTTGCATCTCAGGCATTGCTGAGATGGATGAGTGTACCTGGGACATGGATTCTGTAGGCTACTGGGGCAAAAGAGCTCAATCACCACCAGCGCCTGCTGGTAGAAGGGCCGATCAACCGCGGGACCCCCAACACCCCCCCTCAGACCAGCTATCACAGAGTACAGTACTTCCTCTCAGTGGCTCCCTTCAGTGGCTCCCCACAGTGGCTCCTCTTAGTGGACTCACTCAGTCCTAGGGCTCAAGGGACTTCTAGGGCACACTCCTGGGATGTCTCTTGACACTGTTAAAATGTCCAGGGTATTTGTTAGGAATTTTTAAGTCCATTCTGAGATCAAACTCATGCATGTTGATCACAGCGGGGCTCACACTTAACAGTCTCATAATCTGTAGACTACTGGGACAAAAGAGCTCAATCACCACCAGCGCCTGCTGGTAGAAGGGCCGATCAACCGCGGGACCCCCAACAGATTCTTCAAACAGGACTTCGAGCTTCATTAAAAGACTAAGCATGGCTGCGGTACGGCAGTTCTATAGTGTCAAATGTGTCAAATGAATATTTTATACTAGTGTTACAATGAACACATATTAATGATACTGATTGTATTAGCAATCAAGATCTTCTTATTGAAGATTGTATGAAATAATGACTCAGAGCTCTGAGACCGTCTCTTACACAGTGTATATAGAGGAATCTATATTCAGTCTCTATACTCAGAGATCTCTATACTCAGAGGCGTTATACACAGAGTTCTCTACTCAGAGAGTCTCTATACTCAGTGAGCTCAGTGAAACTCTATATCTATATATCTGAGAGTCTTTATCACCAGTGTGAGAGGTTACAGAGTAAGAGATTTATGAAGTGAAAGTTCATAGTCTGAAAGCCAAGTCTGACTAAATCATATGTAGTAATATACTAACTATATTAGAACTAGTGTAATTAATGCGTGACTATAAAATCAGTATTATGTGAAATTAAGCCTTTTCACTGAAAAAATATTGAAAAAAGTTATCTCAGCAAGCTCAGACACTTCTTCAAATATTCATTACTGTTTTAACACTGAATTGATGATTATGTCATGAGCTAACCTCAAATAAGCAATAAGCTAACTTAAATAGTAAAATCAGATTATGTGAGTGATAATATCTTACAAAGTGTCTTGTAGCAGGCTGCGCCCGATCAATTATATAGACTATTTCATTACACTTTATAGATCCCGCAGAAAGCTCTGATCTCCGGTCGCCGATTCTCGGCTGAAAAACCCATGGAATTTCTGTTCTTCCGCCCCGAAGCTTCACCGCATATAATCAACTATCTAACTGTAAGAATAAGTGCTCGCAGGCAATTATTCGGGTGTTTGCAGCTTGGTGTGATATGTACTGTTAACTACTAGAAGTATTTACAGTAGAAAGATAAAATGTAGAAATCAAATGTATAATAGTATTCAAGCTGAGTTATGAATAGTATTCATGAACTTCAGTCTATATAGTTGTGTGTAGCCAAGGGCTGCTAACTCTATTAATTATGCAAGAGATAGAAATAGAGATAAAGAATCTGTGAGAAGTGAGATTTCTTACATATCTCTCTCTCTCTAAGACTTTGTTCACAAAGCCTTTCACTGAGTGACTTCATAGAATCAGCTCAGCACTGCAGTGATACTCACTAAAAATTCTTTATATCTATAAAAAACCTCAGTGAGGAAAAATCCCTTGTTATTATAAAGAGAAAAGAGTCTGTCACTCAGTTTCTTGTTTCATGAGATTCTTTATAATCTACAGATTCTTCTCTGACTATTATATAGATTTATCTCACATCTTTCATATAGAAGAGTTCTGATTAACTCTTAACTATTTTCATGAGATTCTTGTGTAATCATCACACAGATTCATCTCACAGATGAATTACTCTCTGTGAGATCACTCTTATTAAAGAGAAATATTCATGAGTTAATCTTTCACTCATTCTTACAAATTATTGTTCTTTAACACTGTAGAATTGTGAGGAATTTTTCATTCTTTTATCAACTCTGTAGAATTGTAGAATCAAGATATCTGCAGTCTGCAATCACTCTTTATAGTCATATAGAAAGATTCAGATCTGTAATTCATAATCACTCTTTAT